GCAAAGTGTTGCATATAACATAATAACCAACAAAACAAACAGGGGTGAACACATAACCTCCTTGGTGGAGGTAAAGATTAACAGTAAAAACTCTAATCTGCTTAATCAAAGCTGTGTGGGTGACATGACTTCACCATTTTCCAATGAGCACATCCACATTAATCCAGATAAGTTTTAAAAGCCTGTTTCACACCATGTCAGCTCTCTGTCCAGACTCCTCCCCCGAAACGGAGATTTTCCCTAACAGCCTCCGGAGTGTGTAAATCAAATCATCGGCTTGGCGTTTCATTGCACACGGGGTAAACAGCTTTTACCAAACAATGCTGTGAGCTGCCCTCTGAGGGTCTGTGCACACAGTGAAGTCAAACAACCTTTATTTGCCTCTAACTTTCTCTGCGATTGTTTATTTTATGTAGCCGAAGACAGAGCAGAGCGGTTTTCACGAACCTGAATTCTTGTTGATTTTATCTCAGACGATGTGGTTTTCATAATAAAACATATTTCATCAGCTCAGAACAGCAGCTTGGGAATGACCTCTGGTTAACATGTAGTAATTACTTCATAATCGCCCAAAACAGAAAAAATATGTATATAAGAAAAACTATGATGTTAATCTGACTAAACGTGCGGTTGACATGGAAAATATAGAGTTTCAGCAGCCCTGTCCTTTTTTTCTCGCTGAATGAATATGACTCTTTTTCTAAACCCCTTCTAAAAAGTTAGAGTTCAACTAAACAGACTCAACAAACTCAAAAGGGAAGTCATTTCTTTTCATTTGCTCATGAATTTACCTTTTCATTAATAGGGAGAAAATATATAAGCTAAGTTTGATTCACAGAAAACAATCCCTCGTGTTTCATGTATTATTCAAAGAGTTAATACACACCTTTGAGCTGAAAACTAAATTGTATGACTGTTCTTTGTTGAAACACATCCATGCTGCCATCCCATTTACTACAAATCTAGTAGTCTATATAGTTAAGGTGGGAAGCTGACCACGACCAGCGACCATTTGTCAGTAGAAACCTATAATGAAGTGCTCATTTTCAAATCTATCACCACAACATCTACAATTCAGAGTCGTCCACCAATCTGCATTTCTGCTACTGCTACTGGAATCCTCACTCGCAACCAGACAACCTAGATGACTTAACTTTAGCAAGCTAATCGGTAAGTTGTATGTGTGTGTCGGTTGGGTGGGGGGTGTGGTAGGTAGGCGTATCTAAGCCCTACTAAAGGCATTTTTTTATTTCTTAGATATTTAATTCTTCCCACCAATAAAAAACACATTGCATAATCTCTATGAAGTGACTTGATGGGTTGTTTGTGTGAGTGTGTTTCCCAGGGGCTATGGAGTTATTCCATGCCCACGCCTTTCTGTCAGTCTGGTGTGAACAGACTTGTCGAGTTAAGAATGTGTCTGACCCCTTCTTCTTCCTTTCACTCCCATCCTAACATTGAAAAAAGTCCCAGTCTGGCTCGAAGTGCTGATAAAGCTCATGACTCATGTAAAAAGACAAACACAGCATTTTGACTCACACTGGATCGCTCCAGTGAAGGACTGGAGAGACACTGGAGGAGGATACGGAGTTATGTGCAGTAAGTTAACTATTTACTGAACTGTACGAGTTGTGCTGCCAGAGGAGTCTGATTTGTGGCTGCAGGGAAGCACCGACACAAACCACTGCTGATCATACTCATCATCTCTGATGAGAATCTTGCATTGGAGTTGGGTGTGGGGACATAGGGTGAATGATGAAATCCAGATCCACATATCTGCTATAGGGAGAAACGCTGTGTTCCGAAATGTATTTTCTTTGCACATTTTATTCAGAACCACAAGAGAATACAAATCTTTGGGGCTGTCTAACTCTTAGGTAAAATATCTTTTCTCTGCTCACTTCTGGTTGGGGGTTACTGGCTGACCCCAGGTGACAGAGTTTTCACATTTAAAAGTCTGAACCAAGGTTCATGATTTAAAAAAAGTCTTTCTGTTTAAATGGAGAAAATCGATGAACCAGTTAACTTTATTCATTTTGTTGCCATTGTAATATCATCAGGGTCAGATTTGGTTTGAAGGTATCTCACAATTGAATGAGGGGAGGATTGAGCCGGTGATGAACGGGCAGATTGGTGCAGCATCAGCTGAAATGGGAACAGACCGGAGCTGAGCCAGAGGGCAAAGAATTTGATTAACTGGTAAGTCTACATTTTGACCCTCACCTGTGGTCATGAGCTCTAGGTAGTGACTGGGAGAATGAGATTGTGCGTACAAGAGCTGGTTGACTGGGTTCAGCCTTAGAGATAGAGTGGGGAGCTCACACATTGGGAGTAAGCTCAGAGAGGAGTCATGGCTCCTTCGTATAAGAAGAAGCCGATGGAGGTAGTTTGGGCGTCTCACTAGTATGGCACCTGGTTGTCTTCCATTGGAGATCTTTTGGTCATGTCTAACTCACTGGGGGGGGGGGGGGTCATATATCCCCTCTGTCCTAGGAACACCACAGGATCCCTCAGGAGGAGCAGGAAAGCATGGCTGGGGAGAGGGAGCACCCTGTTTAGGCTGCCACCGCAACCCGACTTTTGATTAAGCAGAAGATGGATGGATGAATGGCTATGCACCAAAATGTTATTAAGTTTAGGATGAATATTTTCAAGGATGTTTCCACATGATTTTGATGACTCTGTCCTCTCACCTCCATCTTTCACCACGACAAAGCAAATCAAACAATGTTTTCAGTCTTTGGAGAGGATGAACACAAATGTTTTTTGCTTCTCTCATTTTCTTCAGTTTATCCTTGTTACCCATCTATATCACAAAGGTTCTTTTGTTCACAGGGCTGCTAGCCTGACAAAAACTAGATTATATTCAGGGTCCAGTGTTGTATAATTGTGTAAAGGCCTTTTACAAGACACACTCGCCTTTTAAGAAAGAAATCGCCAAAAAGAACTGCACTTAACTCTGTTGTTTTTACTGTAAAAGCAGTAGTCATTGCAATCAGTACCGATTATTGTTACACCTCATTTCTTACACCCAGAGTCATTTAAAAAAACAGACTGTGAACCAGAGTTTGACCTTTGACCTCTGCCTCTCACCTGCTTGTGTGGATTTCCTGCGGGCCTTTTTGATATCCTCTTCGATCTTGTTGCTGAGTTTGATCTCCAGCTGCTGAGTCTTCAGCTCCAGCTCCTTCTGTCTGTCAGCCAGAGCTTTGCGGGCCTGATGGTAGATAAGAGAACCAGAGAGAATCAAGCTCAGATCCGAGACAAACCCCTGTGTGAACAATCAAGAAGCTTGCTCTCACACAAAGATCTGCTCCTCCTATTCTGGCTGTGAGCTTTTTCTTGAACGATTGTGTGACTTTCTTGAAACAATCATCTGAATAGCTAAAGAGATACGTTTGCAGCCATGTCACACTCCGCTTCCATTCATCACAATGATTCCGACAACCTTTGTTCCTTCATGGAAGCCAACATGGCCAGTGTCTTATTTCCTGACTAGCTTTAAAGAGATACTTCACACTTAAATGTGTTTTTGAATATGACTGTTGTTTGATGAAATACATTAATGCTGGTTTTAACATCACAGTTATTCCCAATTTCTAGAACAAAATGTCAACGATATGGGTTGAACATGGCTCCAAACTCCACATAGTGTTTAAAACCATCTTTGAAAGACAATGTGTGAGTAGAGTAAACCGTTGGGACATCTCTACGTCATGCCATTTATATTTATTTGAAAAAATGAACACCAACTAATTAAAGGCAGGCGGAATCTGGATTGCTGCGCTAATATTCTAATCTATGCTGAAACTAAACCCGTAACCCACCACGTCGTCTACTATTCAGATACACTCCACATCCTCTCCTCCCCTCAGCTGTCACACACACACACACACACACACACACCGACAGACACACACACCGACAGACACACACACACACACCGCTTGAACCGCCGGCTAAGACAGCCACCTGTGGCAACGGCTCGAATGGCTCAGGACCACTGTGGTCTCTGCAATCAGGAAACTCATATGACATTTCTGACATATCTGTTAAGTGTGTGTGTTCAGTTGTCCCAAATGTGTTTATCAGAGAGAAAGTGTTTTGTCCCTTCTCAGAGCGAATGCTGCACAGATGACAGATGATGTGAGACAGATTCGCAGTTTCCTTCAGGCTGCAGCCAATAACCTTTCATTGTACATATACAAAAAGCAGGACGCATTCCAGCGACAGGAAAGAGCCGTCTGCTTATGGAGGAGTTGTGGAATTTTAATCACCAGCAAGATGATGCCTGAAATTCTGCCACTGCCAAATGCGAGGAGACGGCTGCGTAACATTAGAGCAGCTTTCAATCTGCGTTTCTGCAAGCGTGTGTACCTTCTCCACGGCTGCGTAGCGACCGACCAGCTGCTTCCGGAGGTCTGCGATGTGGTGGTCGAACCTCTTCATGTCCTTCTTGAAGTTCTCCCTGAAGCTCAGCAGAGGCTTCTCCACTTCACTCTGGAGCTGCTCAAACACAACACAACCGACAAGTCAACGAGAGTGAGGTTTGCAGCTGAACCCTCTTTGCGTTGTGAGGCGACAACAGACTCAACATGAGAGTGCTCATCGGACAGGCTCACATTGATGCCGAAGTAAATTAGGCCAGAGCTGTGTCTGGCTCAGCGTCATGTAAGGACAGCGAGTTTGCAACAGGATAAAGGTAGAGGAAGAAGAAGAAGAGTAATTTTCACTCTTTCTTGTTGAATTTAGTTTCCTCTGGTGGTGGGACTAAGAAGAAATTTACTGTCCAAACACATGTGCAACCTCTGATTACTTTTACACCCGTGATAACTGATAGCATAAATATCCCTGGCAGCTGTTAGGTGAATGACAATATGAATCCAGGCAGAGATACAGTAACTCTTCATGCATATAAAGTGATGTGGAAGCAGCAAGTCATGAAATAAATGATGCTATTTAACTTTCAGTGATGATAAAGTTATCAATCAAAAAGGAAATCACTATAATTCCTCCTCAACATATCTGATTTAATTATCTGGAAAACATAATTAGCTCCATTCCCTTTAGCTGCTTTCTAGATGAAGTCATCATCCTGCCACACTGGTCTAGTTTAGATGAGAAATATTTCAGTTTATGGAGCCGGACAATAACCGAAACCACAGATGCCAACATTGCTGATTCCAACAGATTTCTGGTTAAACAAACTTTTTAAAATAAAGCTGAAGAGGATACTATTAATCCAAATGACTTAGTTTTGAATAGACAGCTTGTCATTGTTCGCATGGCCCTTAAAAGCCAGCAGGTATCCTGTCCCAGCTGTCACTGCTGTATGAAATCTACAGTTCCTTCCTGGAGCAGCCTTCAAAGTCCATTTCCACTCAAATCCGTCCTTCTGCCCCAAGAGCAGCGACACACATCTGTGCATCTCTGGAGGATAACATCAGCGACTCCACTTCCTCCATTAGTCAAGCTGCAACCCTGGCCTCCGTTCATCTTCCTATCCAAAGCAAACTTTTTCAAAATCCTTTAAATTAAGAGCAATGCAGCCCTAGAACCCAGCGATATGGGTAAGAAAACACAAGCCGTTACTCATGAGATTACTCATTTTTCTCCAGGTTTTATATGCATTTGATTTGCGTGGAACATGTGCTGCTCAAGATAAATCAAATCTACTTCCCATTAAGAGGAGGTCACATAAGGTGGTGGCTGATTCAAAGCCTCAGTGTAGATGTACAGAATGTTCCTTGTTAGTCACATGTGCTGTAGGCGGCTGAGCCAATATAAATTCAAACTATTAAACAAGTCCAATACTCCATGGTACCCATATCAGTTCTGTGCTCCAAGGTATAAAATGTCATATGATGATGATGATGGCAAGATTTTTAGATATTTTCCACATTTGTATGTTTGGTTTTCTTATTTTTAAACGTAAACCCCTAAGTCTAAGTCAATTCTACATTATTACAGCTGGAATCATTTTTTTCCCAGGTTTTAGCTTTTGTTTAATTGTGGTCATGGCAACACTATATCTACCAGAGTTTATCATATGGTCTGCAAACAAGCCGTCAGACAGATGATGTAAACCATGTTGTCTGGAGCACACTTACAAAATTATCCTATTTATCATCCTTCAAATCATATTGTATTGTGCCCGATCCTAACCTGAATCCCATCCTATCTATCATCTTTCCTATCCTATCATGTCTGATCCTTCCCTTCCCTACCCTATCCTACCTTTCCCTAAATGAATCTATTCTATCCTATCCTCTCATCTTTCATTTATGCTATCCTATCATGTGTGTTCCTTTCCTTCCCTATCCTACCTTACACTATACTTCCCTATTCTATCGTATCATATCTTATCTATTATCTATTCTATCCACAGGAATCTTCAGGTTCTTCTTCAATTGATTGCCCTTATTAATAGCAAGGAAACGCCTGCTGATTCCTATATATTCACTGTGTACATTTGACGTGAAAGCCTGTTTACTGTACATAGATCAGTGTTAAGATATACTTCTTATGATATGCATTTCCTCGTGGGTGATTTGATTATTTAAATACTTGTATTTATTGAAATACAAACTTGAACCAAAAAGGTGCTAAGTATTACATCATTACATATCTCCCAAGTTTTAATTTACTTTTTGTTGAATCAAAACATCCAATAATTTTGTGTTCAGAATGTGAAGTGAAATCTGCAGCAAGACTGATATGCAGTGTCCTGGACACTTGTTCTGGGCTGCACAGATTGAGGTGAAGATGTGTCAGCACAGTTGAAAATGTTTCAAGCTCAGGAAAAGAATTTGCACTTTCGTGAAGCTTCATGACTCCATCTCATTGTAGTACACAGAAGTAAAGTAAAAGATCGAAGAAAATACCGGGCGGAATCTGGTAAACTCTGAGACCAGAGGCTAAGCAGTCTGCACACACTGGTAACCTCTGCACTGTAACTACATTGGCTGTTTGTTGTGCAAACATGAAACACAAAAAACAAATTTTAATAATGAAATCAAGAAGGAGACAGTCACTCGTCATTAATTGTTCATAAACATGACTTCAGGTATGCTCCTCAAGCAGGTTGCAGCTTTGCAGAGATGAAATAAAATGTGCTGAATTACCTTTGAGGAGAACTTTAGGTGAACTTCAGCTTCGTCTGTGAGGCTCTTCTTCAGCTGGGCCCAGGCCTCCCCCAGAGTCCTGAGAACAGATAAGGAGGAGGGAGAGAGTGTATGTGTTTAATATCTTACACCAGATAGGACCACACACACTTTTTACGTAAAGACATGGAGGGAAAGCAGAAAGTCTCGGGGAAAGGGGGGGGTAAGACACAGCTGGAGAAGTTGCAGCGGGAATCCTATTACACACACTCACCGCTATACACACAAACACACACATGTGGTTCAGCGGCAGAGTCAGAGTTAAAGTTCACAGATACACAAAATCTCTGAGAGCCGAGCTGAGGTCCTCAGCCAGTTCAACAGATGATTAGGATTGGACATGAGATATGGCTCAGCTTATTCTTTGCCTATGAGTTCAGCTTTTCACCACAGCTGGGGGCTATAACGCTGAGAGGGCTCGTATTGTTCTTGTAGATAAGCGTTAAAATTAATTTGACCGATGCACATTACATAATAATTGTCGGCCGGATACAGTGATTCATTATTCCAGAATAGAACTGACAGGTAATGGAAAGAAATCATCTTTATAGTTCGTCAAGCTGCGGACAGTAAAAGAATCATCAGCAGGCAAGAGAGTCCCAGCCATGAGGCTCTGGGTTTGGAACTAGCCGTCTGTGTGGGTAAGCTGGACACTTCAAAGCATCGCTCTGAATGAAGACATGTGTGGAATTCCCTCAGACTGACATCCAAAACATTCCTAACACTGTCAGAGAAAAGTCTGGCACCTGCAGCGCTACAGCAGCAACAAAGGGTCTAATAGTTTTTGTGCTTTGACAGTCCAACTGCAATAAATCATACGTCCCATCGGAGCAGGTGGTGGAAGGTATTGACTGTACATTAGTGGATACTGCATTACACACATGCAGAATGTGTGTAATGCGTCCAAACGTGTGTACAAACGTGTTGTTTCGAAAGGAATTTAACATTTTAAGCAAGTGAATAGTCTACATCATTGAATCTTTGTGTTCTGTACTATGAAAAACATACAAACAACTATAAGACACATTTGTTCACATCTCCAATCATTACAAGTTGCAAAAGTTGCACCACACCAAATGTTATTCACACGTTCTAAATTCTATTCGTCATGTCCCTGAAGAACTACAGTCCCCAGTGACAGACAGTCCCTTGCAAATAAAAAACGAGAAAGGAAAATGAATCTCCCTCCCTGTGCTTCCGCCATCCAGCAGAACCAATACAGTGCATGATGGGTTGCAATAAAGAGTCGTCACATGCCTCGCAGCTACATCTCTACCAAACAAATGGTAAATTCAGGAATAAATAGGCGGCTGGTTCTGGGCTCTGGCCGGTCGGATGGTAGGAACGGACCAACAAAACAGCGATTGTGTTGTCTGACAACAGAGCGGCCTGAGGGAGAGAATAATGAAAGTATTGTGTTGCACTTTTCTGGGTGTGGGCAGACTAAGCTGGTTGGCATAATCTGGATTCTATATAGGACAATTCCATCCCACTCTGACCCTCTATTACCATGCTAATATGAAGAGGAGTTTTCTTATATGCAAATAAACAGTGCAGGGGAGGGTAAGCCTAGCTAAATCTTGCTTGCACGGTCGCTCGCAGATTACAGTTTCCCCACTTTCTTGGTCTTGTGTAGACTTTTCATGAAATAAAGACTACAGTCCATTTCTACGTGGTTTAGGCAGACAATGTCAGAGTAACAGTAGATAGTCATAAAGGCAGACAACAGCTGTAGAGAGAGCTGAGTCGCAATGGAGAGTTTTAGATTAACCAGTCGAGCTCATGACTGTCAGCTACGGTCATGAGCTCTGAGGATGTGACCAAAAGAACAAGATCACGAATACGAGGGGGAGCCTGTCATTGGAGGTTTAACAGGGTCTGCCAAACTTGGAGCAGACCCAGAGGTAGACCTCGCCGGGAGGACTACTTATCCCATCTGGCCAGGGAACACCACAGGATCCCCCAGGAGAACGCGTGACAGGGGATAGAAATTTCTGAAACTTGCTGCTTTGACAGCTTCATGCAGGATCCAATCTCAGATACAGGTAAGAACATGGATGGATGGATGAATGGACAGCATACATCTAAATTTGCAAACATTAGCCAGCAGAAACTATTACTGCTCACACCTGAACAAGTTAGGCTAGCAGCAAACCTCTTAACTTTGCTTAAGGGGCAACAGTGCATTTGATTCTTATAAATTAAACTTCATTATTCGTTAATTCTTCTTTTAACTGTTACATAGAGTTAGATCGTCTTAGTTTTCCATGACTACGGCTTATGTTACCCAAAAATTTGCTTGCCAGCTCAAACAGCAGTACAGATTTGAACTCCGACAAACTGTAATGTGATATGGTTTTACTGGTGTAATACCCCTCCCACCTCCCCATGTCCCCTGGCTGAGTCTCAACTGTCACTGAAAAAATACCCCAAACAAAAGCTTTATAAAGTTCCATTAAGGTATATTTCACACAGTAACAACATATTATATAAGATGTTACAATGTGGCCACATTTTCCATGTTTGAATAAATACATATAAAAACCTATTTTGTGGATAATTGTTGTTATACTTATTATTATTTGTTATTTGTTAAGTTGAAAAGATCGCTTCCCTTCTTCCAACTGTTATATTCTGAAATAACTTTTTCACATAAACGTTCATCAGCTGGACCATCTAAGTTTATTTCTAATGTAATAGCCTGAGAAAAATACCAATGAGATGTTGTAATAATATACTTAGATTATGTTTTTAACTTGTTTCCAGACTGATGATTTTGACATTCAGTCACATTGCTATGCACTCCCACTGTGTCCCTGAGGAATCTCTTAATAAAGATGAGTTTAATAACAACACGGTAGGTGGCGTCTCTACAAATCACAGCTTCTACTCTTTGGGGGCTTCTTTAGATGGCCTTTCCCCTCTCAGCTCCCTGTGACTTTACTTTCCATGTCTCTGCGTTCCCTCGGAGAATCCGACAAAGAGCTGCCCTCAGCGTGATATCCCCTCTGCTGCCAAGCTGGAGGAAAGAGGAGTGGCTGCAAACTCCTTCTCCCTGCAGGGCTTCCCTGGATTCCTGCTTCCACTCCAACCCCCAACACACAACTAAATGTCTGTCTCCTCAAATCTCATCACCCTCATCTTCACTCTTACCACCCCACTTTTACATCTATACCTCTGTTCTCCCTCCCTCCTCTCCTCCACTCTCTTTTGATAGCTGAAGTATGCTGCAGGACTGAGATCAAAGCATGCAGTGATTTACAGGAAGGCCATACTGTTTCACAACATCACTGGCAGGGACTCCAGACCCAAGCTCACACTGGGATGTCTTGCCTGGATGCTTAGTTGACTGGCTGGCTCACTGAGGAGCCGTCTGCCTGGCTGGCTAATTCTTATTAGTATTTATAACACAGTAAAAAGACAGAAGAGGCTATAATGTGAGACTATGGCTATCTCAAGGGTCAAATTCTTCAGAGGTTACATTTGAAGAACGATGAGGTTGCCTCATGTCAAGATACTTCACCATTTTCATTCCAGACAAATTAAAGATCCAAAGCAGAATCCAATTACTACATGATTAAATATAAATATCAGGCTTCAACTTATTCAAATAGCCAACAGTGCAAATGTCAAAAATCCAAGAGGTGCAATTGGTGTTTGGGCAGCCGAGATGCAGTAAGTACAGCAGCTACTGCTACAAGCAGGTACATCATTAACATCAACATCGATGAAGATGAACAAAGAAATATGTCAACATAGAAAGTTCTTACAGGTGCAAACCAAGGATGATGTGAAACGGGAGTCAAGCAGAGGCAAGGCTGAACTACCAACCAAAGTGACCAACTGCCACTGGTTTGTGTCACAACCTAAATGGCTTTACCCCACTGGCTTTTATCAACTTACTTCATATTCTTTTCTGTGTCAAACAATTAACTAAGAGAAACCAGGAGAGGGAGGGCTTATAGCATTCCTTAGAATCAACAGGGGACCAACAACTAATTTTGGAGGTAAATGGGGTCAGGAGGAAATATTTTTTTCCACTGAGCACTATATGTATTACTTTTTGTCTGTGCATTGGTTACACATTTGGTTTCTGTTTATCCCTCTGTGTATGCAAAACAGAGCACTCACATGCTCACTGTTGCTTTGTGTGATAAACAACAGAAACAACAACAATGGCGGCTATATTCTGCCTTCTCTACGTTTGGTTCGCACTGCTAGGTCTAATTATAAGTTTGCAGCTAAATTTAGCATTACTGCACCACATTACTGACATTCAAAGGCATCTGCATCGCCCAAGTTTACAGCGTTCTTATTTGATGGTACCTTTTATCGCCACCAGCTGGCCCGACATGCTTGTTTGTGCGTTTGTAGCCAATTTTGTGTTCTCAGCTGGACGGAGATATCTTGCAAAACAATGGTCGTGGGCGGAGATTTTTTTTTAATGTAGGGGAGAATAAGTTCAAACTCACAAAATATCTGCAGTGGTGTAGACAAGACGTTACTGATTAAGGTAATTATTACAAAGCAATTTATTTCTTTTCTTCTGTAGTTGACCCTGACCTTTGACCTTCTGAGGAAGAAGTTTGGCCTAAATGGTCACAATAATGCCTCACATCATTATTACAAAATATACTGTGGTGCAAGGAGCCCAGAAATAGATAATTTACTTCCCCTGCCTCTCCAAAGCAGCTGCGTAGTGGAAAGTTAAGTCCAGCTTTTCTGGTGTTTTTGTTTTAATTCACATCTTCCATGTAGCCCTGTAGTGTGTGTGTGTGTGTGTGTGTGTGTGTGTGTGTGTGTGTGTCAAGCTCCACTATTGTCCAGAAAGGCTTTCTCCAGAAAACACACCAAAGAACAAAGTAGCTCACCCTTCCTCCTGGCCTGCGAGAGGGATCTGGGAGAGCTTGGAGAGATTCTTGGCGTACTCCTCTTCTATCTTTATCCTGAGAGGGAAGTAGAGAGTTTCATTACCACATAGCCTTCATGCAACTCTGACTGACTGACTGTTTCCATGTGGGCTTTTTGTGTTGTGCAACTAAGTGATGTACATGAATGAGCATGAAAAAGGGGAACTGTTTTATGAGTCTGTTTAATGGGAAGTGCATGGTGTTCATGGTAACCTGCGGAAAGCAAAGCCGATACCTTTCTCGTACGAACTCTGCCATCTCTTTCTGCATCTGTTTCCCCTTCAGCTGTTTCTGCAGCAGAACCTCGAATCCTGTGATGCAACCGTTGCCTTGGGGATCCTTCCTGTCAGTCTACAAGAGAAATGCATTGAACAAACAAATACTTAGCAGCAAACATGAGAATATCACACCTTGGCCAAGCAGCACAATGAAATGAAGCACTTGCTGCATCTTCCCTGACAAACACAAAGAGGTAATGCAGCAGAATAACATGAGGTTTAAAATTACTGAGGGATTATTAGACAATGAGGTAAGTCCAGTGAATATGATATACCTGACATGCAAGTTTAGAACAGGCTCTTTGCTAGAGTCAACAAAGAGTTAAATATGCAGAGATGGCAGCTATTTTACGGTCATTCTAATGTCTGTTAACATATGTTGTGTTCCTCTGCCTTGATAATTATTAATAATAAAATAATACACTTTTGATATACAATGGTTGAGGCTGGAAAACTATATGTTTTATATTTCTCCTTGTTGCGTTTCATGTTGTTTAAATCCGACCAGTGTGTTTTGACAGGAGCTGAAGTTGAACTTTCAAAATAAGTCAGTTTCCCAGGATTCCCAGGATGGAGTGCTTCTGCACTAATTTTCTGTACTCCTGATTACAGGGTTCTTGTTTATGTGATGGTAAAGAAAACAGATCAGTGCAGTAAACTGGTTCCTTCGGTGCATGTAAACACAGACAGAGGCCAGAACTATAGAGGATCTGAGAGTTGCCTGGTTCATAAAAAGGTACTTGTTTTCATCAAAACGTCTCTTTCCTTTTCTAATTACTTTAGAAATTACTTTTTTCACTGTGTTATCGACTGCGTTACTGTGTTCGCCCCACACACCACACCTGGTAGAGATTACACCGCAGGGGTGGGAGATGTCCAAACAGAGCCGCAGAAACCAGCTGGCTCCCTCTGCTCCATTCACTTACTATTAATGTATCATCCTGCTACACTGTCCGTTACTAAAGCCAATGCTGCTACTCTGCATGCAGCGCAGCGAGGATGACATAAATATAGAGGCACGTCAAAAGATAAAAAGGATCCAATGCTGTTTTGGCCAAAAGGAATCTTGGGGATGTTCGTTTAATGATTTATTGGAGAGAGCAGCGGTGTCGACACAGGAAGAAGATAATTATGGAAAAGAATTGCTCTCTTCTTTTTGTTCAAGATGCTCATGTAGATCTTTCTTCCTCCTCCACCTTCCTTTGTTACATCATCTCTCTCATGGTCTTGCACAACCTGTTTTTGCCTCCCTGCATTAAGAGGTTCTCATCATTAGTCGCCAACCACAATACCAAAAAGACTGAAAAGTGAGGTTTGAAAGTGGTGAATACTAATGCTTGCTGTTGGTATCTCCACAACTTAACTGGACATTTTGTGCTACAAGAATCAGAATCAAACCAAATGGTGAGGATCACAAATTATTCATTTCCCTACTGCACAGTATAAGTGGATAGTGGATACACAGTTATTTTGAATAAAGGAACGATGTTGATGCTACATTTTATGGATTAGTAGTAGTAAAGAAAAGTGAAATTTATTGAGCACTATGTCATTCCATTTAGATTTCTTTTTTCATTTATGATAAATGTTTAAAGGGTGCTTGCGACTGCATTTCCCATCATACTTTGATTAAAGCAGAAGGAATGATATTTTCTGTGAGTTAGCATATGCTGTTTACACATACATCATGATCGCACAACAGATACAGATTTAAAGAAGATAAATATCTGAAGATTATAAATATATAAGGGGTCTGTATTTATAGTTGCAGAGAATTATATTTTTTGTTTAATCTTCAACAGACATCAGAGATAAGCCTGGAAAGCGTGAGTGAGGGTACGATTTTTGCTGACTCCAGCAGTAGGAGATATTTAACAAGCAGTTTGTGCGATGGGGCGATAGAGAACAGATTTACAGCCTCCTAAATGTTGAGGTAGATTTACCCAGAAGTAGTCACAGTAGCTCCACTCGTTTGGTTTCAGCAGCTGTTGTTCGGGCATGAATGCAGGCAATGGGAACGTCACACAGTTAATCTGAGAGAGAAAGAGAGAGAGAGAGAGAGCACCACAGGGAGGGCGGTTTAATGGGACTGTTTAAAGTATCACAACAGAAAACTTGACTTTGATGCGACGGAACTGCACAGCAGCACAATTAGTGCTCCATGTGTTTATAGACACACACAGACACGCACACAGTCTTGTATGCATGCCTTCAGGGGAAATTACATTAACTACACTCATTCCCTGGAGACTAAGTTTAACCATTACTTACCTAACTACTAACCAACAACTTCCCCTGAACCTAACAAAATCTTTACCTTGACATTTGTCTATATACCAGACTAGGACTTGCTCATAATGTGATGGCGTAAACAGATTTAGATTCCCCCTGCACACATAAACACACACACACACACAAACACATAAACACGCACACACACACACACACAAACCTCAGCTGTGGTATTCAAGGTATAGTCTGCACTCTGTTGCTTTGGCAACACTCACACATTTGGCAGCTCAGAGAAAACAAACCCAAAATAAAGAAGACATATCCAATCGACCCAGCATTGTTCATTCACTTTTCTCTGTGCACTGCATCCTTGAGGACGTCGTTGTCAATACACAGCCTTTGAGGTTTTCAGCCTTTTTGGGATTCATCACTCTGCTCCCTACCCCAACATTCTGATGGATTCCAAAACGTCCCAGAACCTTAAATTATCTTTATGCATCTAATCCTCTTTTTGTTGAATGTGCTGGCTGCAGGACTCCCTGCTGTGAACTGTATGAACGGGTTCTCGGGTGATGCTCAATAGGACTGGACAGAGTACACGACAGTTAAGTACTCACAGTGATCAGGAGCTTAGTTATTCTCTTGTATTAGCTGTTGACTCTGAAAAATGTCCTGAAAATTGGGTTGGACTTTGCCTTTCCCTTTGCTTTTCAGAACACAGCAGTAGTCTGGGTCAGATGCATTCACAACAACAGGAACATTTTCAGAACATAATGGGTAAAGAATGCAGGGGGCAGGATGTAACGTAAAAAATTGTGATGCGGAAAGCACAGGGTCTTTGTTTACAGCCCATTAAAAATGGCAAAAGCTCTCGAATCTTGTTGTCTTTCAGGGTTGACTTCTTCATTTGCATCGTCTGGGTGCATGTCAACTATTTTTCATTCTGAGATATTTGTATTCCTCCAGTTTTGAGTTTATCGCGTGTTCATGTACTCACTAACTGTGAACTTTCCAGAAATCTTCCTGCTGTATTCTCACATTGATATTTTCCAGACAAAGTTCTAGAAAATGTTCAGAGCAACAAACTCAGACATTTGCATTCTTACAAACAGTGCATCCAGAAAATGTCATGAATAGACATCCCCTCTAACCTTCTGAATTTGTAAAACATGTGGTAATGAAGAAAGCAGTGAAGGAACACATTGAGAATAAAATAAATGAAGAGACATGTCTTCAAATAAAGAAAAACAGAAAACAAAAGGACCTTTATCTTCTCTCACATTCATTCCAATTAACCTCTGGGGGTTAACAGCCTGCAGTGAGGATGCACTCTTTCTATTCAGCGGCACCAGAGAGCGGCACCCTTATCTAATGCCAAAGCTTCGCCTTTCAGTGCAAATAGACAAATTCTGTTTCACTGATGACTTTTCCAGATCCAATATTCAGATTGAAATGGCAGGGGGAAAAAAAGAAAAGGCCATTTAATTCAACCTTATCTTGGCTTCTGAAGTGTATAATTTGTTTGAGGGGAATGGCTTCATATTTATCTGAACTTCTTTTATTTGGATTTTTCAATGAAAGAGGATGGAAATCACTGCTAAGATCTAGCGGTTGACAGAAAGCCGGGTTTGAACTGACCTCTGCTCGATGAGGGTAAATTTGCTTCTAACAGTCTCCAATGATGGGATTAGGTTGTTTGCATTCACGTCCACACGCCGCTTCCGGCACTCTTTCCTGACCTTTAGTGGCCTAAACTGTTGACCTTTAAAGATACCCCTCCTCCGAACAGTGACAGCCTAGGCTTGGTTTAACACTTGCAACACATGTTAACCCTCCTATTCTGTTTGGGCCAAATTTGACCTGCTTCAGTATAATCTAATTTTAATGGAACGAGGATTCAACACACCCATAACCACAAAAGCCTTAACCTTATCCCTACTGAATTTAATATGTTCCCTCAGGTGTAGGCCTATTATACTGAGAGCCAAATGGCAGAACTGTCCTTTTCATGTTCCCACAATAGCCCATGTCCAATTAGTGAATAAGTAAAGTAAATACAGTCTTTTTCAGGCCCCTGTTAGTGCTATTGACTGTAGAGCTGGGGAACATGGGAACCTGGCAACATAGGATCCTTTGTCATTTTCCTGTTATGAACCATATCAATCTGGAGAACATAGGACCTGGGGAAATATAAATGACTCTACTGAGTAAAACAATATTAAACTATCTAAAGCTGATCAATTCTGATTGCAATCGCTGTATTTTCAGCAAGCAAAATTAACCATTACCAAAATACAAGAAGCTCATTTTTACTAATTCTGTCTGAAACCAAGAGCCAGTTTCAAACATTGCTCAGGATTTCAAGCAGCAAATCTGCCATAATGACTTCCAAATGAAAAAGCACTGCGTTAATGGAAAAAGGGCTAAGCAATAAAACACATATGACCTCTTTAAGTCATATAATATCAGTAGCCAGTAATTTGGACCCTAGTGTTGCTCTCTTCGTTCACTGTCTTTTGTGTTTACGTCTGCTTATCGATGGCCTCATCCTGGTCACTATGGGATCTGTGACACAGCCTCCCAAAATCTTAGGCGGTTTTAAAATAAGCTACAGACAAGTTCACAACATCACAGCAGCAGCAGCACCTCTGCTTTACACCAAGCAAGAGGCCAAACAGGATGCAACGGCCTGACAACAGAAGAGAAAAGATCTGGATGCTTGATAGGATGATGTCACTGTGTATCTGTGTGCTAGCAACTGACAACAAGAACCAAACAACTCCACATGAGAGGAAAAAAACACATATACTGTTGTCATAGTAAAGATCTGAGTTTGTATATTGCCCCAATCGAAATGAGTTTAGCTCCATAACTATGAGTACATAGTTAGTTCCCCTGAGTTTTGACACTCACCGTGAACGTGGTCTCCTTGTTCTGTTTCCTGGTGGGTGACGTTGATCCTGGGCTCTGCAGAGAGAAGAAGGACGCTCCGTCAAAACCTCCGTCCTCTGTGTCCGACATGATTTTCTCAACATACGCACACTGGCACTCGCACACGCACACAGTTGTTTTCCAAGCGAGCACTGCAAGCTTCTGGCTGGTGCTCTCTCACTGCTCTTGCTGCTACTGTTGCTGTGTAAGTTTGTGTGCCAGTGTGTGTGTGTGTGTGTGTGTGTGTGTGTGTTGCTGTGCATAGTAGGGAGATAGTTCTGCAGAGCAAAGCATGGTTGGCTTTCTGTGTGTGTGTGTGTGTGTGTGTGTGTGTGTGTGTGTGTGTGTCTGTCTGTGTGTGTGTGTGTGATGTCTAACAGTCAAGCTGAAAATAATACAGTACACATATAAAGTGAACTGAAAAACAAGCTCCTGGGAATTAAACACCTGCTGTCCTGAATGAAATAGTGAACAACCCTTCAATACGACTTATTATCCTTATAGTGGCAGAAGTGTGATTTTATTATATTTATTGAGTGTGTGTGTGTGTGTGTGTGTGTGTCAGTGCAGGAGTGTAAGATGCAGGGAAGCAGAGAAACGAGAAGTGAATAAGTGGTGGGTGGATCCTGTATAACTGTGCCATGGCTGCCTGCTTAATTATGATCAAGAGAGCAGATACTGGAGGAGGGTTTAATCTGCTATAACTGCCGCCAGCCTCTCCATTAATAATGAGGAGAGAAAGAGAGAAGGAGGGGATTTGATCATCTGAAATGATCATATACTGTTATAAAAGCTCATTAATCTCAATGGCTGCATAAAGATGATATAAGAAGTGAGTTGTCGTTCCATGTTTTTTGGTGTTGATTTTAGTTGAATCATTACATTGTTATCACATGTTAAAGCTCATAATTTTACTATGAGCAATTAATCAAACTACCATATGTTATATTAAAGAAACAGAGACATATTACCCACAACAGATAATAGAGGCACTGAATTAGTTTACTACTGTGTCTCAAAAAAAGCCTGTGTAAGTGGCCGCTGCTGTACATTGCATGGACATGACTATAGAGGAAAAATGTAAGCAAAAATGTGTTTTTACTATTTATACTACTGATTAAGTGTAGATATGCAACCTTAGCCATTAGTGGTCTCTCAATCAAAACAGAGGCATTTGAAAATTCCAAATAATCTCCTTTCCTAACCACTTGGACCCTGATGGAAATGGTCACAAGGTCAAGGAGACATGTGGGGGAGAAGCCAGGAGGATTTAGGAAAGGAGAAGCACAGTGCACTACTAGCTTGATGAAGCAGTGTGGGATAGTGAGAGTTGTTGAAAATCTACCTGAACTGACTCACATCATGTTCACAGATATACAAATGATGAAAGGTTAACAATGGGTTAAAGGTACAGTGTGTAGAATTTAGTGATATCTAGTGTTGAAGTTGCATATTGCAGCTGAACACCCCTCACCTCACCCTCTCCTTCCAAACATGAAAAAGAACCTGTGGTAGCTTCAGTTGTCATAAAAAGTCAAAAGGTGTTTAGTTTGTCCAGACTGGACTAATGTAAAAAACATGGCGGCCTCTATAGAGAGGACCCCCTCCATGCAAATTTAAAGTATTTAAATATAAAGGGTCTTTTCTGGGTAAAAAAAACTACAATTCATACAATTTAGATGAAACAAACTAGTGAAAACATCATGAGGATTATTCTACATTAAATTTCTGCCAATAGATCCCTTTCACCTAAATCTTACACACTGGACCTTTAAGCTTGTTCACCTGTTCTAATATTTTCTTTAGGACAACAATATTCTGTTATGATCGTGCGATGCCAAATAACGCGAGTAATATGTCATGTATTGCAAAGATAAAAATGTTGCTTTGCGTTTGCTGTGAATGCACCATAATAATGTTGTTAGCTTTGTTGTTATTGTTCAGTTGAAACAACCTACGCACTTGGAATGGAAACTGTGTTCTAAAACAGTTGGAACTAGGAAAAGGCAGCTGGCAGCCTCCCTGACTCCATCTGTGGAGGTGTCCTTAGACGGTGCATGACGGCCCTGAGTCATACAATCCATGTTCTCTGAATGAGTGAAGGTGAACATAAAAAAGCAGCAGAGGAGGTTGGTGTAAGCGTACTGCCTGGCAGGCTGAGGTGGGTGAGGGCAGAAAACACAGTGGTGAGGGAGGAGCTCCCAAGGGTTGAAAGATAATGACACCAACAAGACTGTACAGTGGTTTACATAATGGACAGCTGGGACACCCAAGTGTTTGTGAAAGGGTTCCGATTTACTTCAGTACAAACCATAATCAGATAATAACAGATAATACTCTGTGTAAGAAAATATAATGACAGAAATTTCACTGTGTGGTTCCAGGAAACAAATATTTGCATGTTTATCCATCAAAGTGAGAAACAGATTGTGAGAGCAATACTTCCCTAGGTTTGTTTAGTAGAGTGAAAAAACTCAGTCACAGTTTATGCTCAGTCAACAAAACACTGCAGTGGGTGTGAATCATGCTGTTAAGGAACACACAGAACAATGGTTGGACAGCTTTACCTGTGGCTCTGTACTGCTCTTCCTAATCAGACTGTTGTGTGAATGCTCCAAATGATGCAAGGGACTACCACCTGGGTGAAATCCATTGACTGGAAATACAAACGAGGGAGAGAAAAAGAGATTAAGACACACAGAAAGAAATTTGTCAAGTGTATTGAGCTGATCCAGGAGGAATTGTCTTATCTTTATGTGGAGAAGCAAACGAGCGTTTAACTTGACCCTAACCTGAGCACAGTCACACCAGAGATTAGTCTGCACTAGTAGCGAGCTAACTTTGTGACAATTATAAAGTGTGCCAATTTGAAGAGTAAATGTATACTCATTTATCTTTGTAAAATGGAGATAGTAAACCCTAAGAACATGAAGAATGGGAAGAGATGTACAGAAACAGGACCTAGTTGAACAGCAGCTATAGCCTTAAAATGGCATCAGGACTTTAAATCTCTAGCTGGGTCCCAAACTGTAGGAGTTGGTCGAGAGGATTACTTTAGCTAGCCTGTTAGTTTTGTCACTGGGGCAAAATGAAACCTGGTATTGATTTGTCTGAGGTTCCACCCATTAGCTCCTAATTAGGAATGGAAGATGCATTTGAAGAAGTCTTCAAAATGTGGGATACGACTTCTATGTGCTTTACTAAAAAATGTTGCGTAAGTTTGGTGTGGGAAATTTTTATGCTGAACTACTCTCTACATAACATCTAGTTTGTGGGGCTAAATCCACACTAACTAAGTGAAATTAAATTTAGTAAATAGCTGGTTCAATCCTGAACTCTACGGAAACTTTAAAGATTATCATTTAGCAAAATTGAGCTACAGCGACATGAGCAAGCATTTTTCCATTCTTTTCCAATTTCTTTCCAGTTGAGAGTACTAAGTATGGGTTAGAGACTTTTCGATGTTTGGTTTGACCAGAAACTAAGTGGTTGCTTATGGTAGAAGTGGATGAAGGCTGCTCCCAGCATTTGACCACTTAAGAGTGGAAAACTTCTAGCAACCTTACTGGGTTTTTCTGTTTGTCTGCCTTTTGGAACGGGGCCAAAAGAAAGACAGAGAAGGCCTTAGATGAAATTAGTCACAGGAAGTGTCTATGTGTGTGTGTGGTGTCTATGAGTGGGTGCTTTGTGCTACCGTTGAAGTTGCAGAGAATTCACAGCCCTAGGGCACTAAAACTTCAGGAAGTTTAAGTGATAAAGAGTTTAGATGGAGGAAGATTTAGCTGTAGTACCTGCTGGCAGGGAGTTCTTGTGTCGGATCGAGGCTTTGGGGGTACCAGGAACACTGGACGGTCTCTCCCATGTCGTCTCTGAGGAAGTGTCCAGCAGAAGAGAAAGAAAAACAATGATATCAACAGAGCAATACCAGCTGTCGTATTGTTTTTTTCTGTCAGAACTATTTCTGGGTGACAATATGAAGAAGTGATCCCAGTATCCTACAGTGCTGACTAGCCTCCCAATCAGTCGACTGGCAGTTTGTTTCATTTCCTTCATTTTAACATATAATGCTTATGCATTGAAGTGAGATCTATTTTGTTGTGGAAACCTTGACCGATAGTGGATGTGGTGACATTTTTCATCATCACAGAAGCTGTGAGAGTGATTTCTATAGGAGTATTTGAGAAAGAGAAATATATCAGTTTAAGGGTCAGTTTCATACAATACAATATTTGACGCTAAGAACCTTTTATTTCTGGAGCTTTTTCTGTTGCTATCTAGATTTTATGTCATTGGTGACTTTTGAATAGCTTATAACATACTCCTGATTTGAGCGGCAAGAACCTGGATTTGTCAATCTGGATTGAGATGTATAGAGATCGGATTGAAATCGCACTGCAACTACCTCCAAACGTTTGAAACCAATGGGAAAAAAATCACAAATCATATTTTTCCATACAGATACACATCTGGACACATCTGGAGCTAGATCTAATCTGGATATGGGGAGGCATTCTGACGCCTAAAACTTAAACTATTGCTAACAAAGAGAGAAGTGTACATACACACACACACACTAACACACACAACAATGCTTTACTTGGTGACAGCTCCTTATCTGGAAGCTGAAGCATCCGTTGCCTTTCTTTTTGACTGCAAAGAAAATACACCCATACCCAAAAAAAAACCCATACAAATGCATGACCATTCTATTTCTTAGCAATTCTCCATTATAATGAATTCTTGCTTGAGTCTCCCTGTCCTTCACGTAGTATTTTGGCAAAACATTATGACTTACTCTTCTGGCAAATGACAGAAAAAAGGACATTAAAAAAACTTAAAGCAGTAGCTTCGTACTTTGTTTGATTTCAAAACGTTCAATGGATGAGTGTTCAGCTCAGGATTGTTTAACCATTGATATTAATGTGCAGGTGTTATCCAAAGTTATGCCACAAAATAACTCATTCTTTATGGTTTATAAATAGTTTCTTGGTTCTTTTGAGAACCATATTTCTGTGAATAAGTCATTCTGAAGTATTTTGAAATGCACCATACTTGATCGACAGGTGTCTCAGCCAATGAGAGCCCCCTGTGGTGACTGTCACAAGTCTGTAGCTTGTTGGTAGCAGTATGCTCACATTTGGGGTTTGTGACTCCAGTAGCTACCGAAACTTATTTTATACGGTGCTGATACTTTTCCATCCTTTGCCCCCATTTAGCTTCTGCTGCTGAAGATGCTGGAGAATGATACAAAAGGCACGCCCGGTAAAAAGCCCCTAATATCGACGGGCTCTCTTTGATTTTAACTCCCTTGTGTCCAATTCACCAAAGCACTGAGCCCAATTAGCTCTATACTGTCATGATGGAAAGAGGAGGCACACACATATAAAGAGCTCTTATTTCATTTGCGTCTCTTTGGCTCACTCTGCTCTATTTGGTGGAGACGACTGAGCCAAGCCCATCAGCTCAAATGACATGCATGGAGGGGATAACCGGCAGCAGGCTTACGGAGAGAGGCTGTGCCTTCAAGTTTGATGTACAGCACCAGGGCAAAGCCTTTACTCACTGGCCCTAAATGCCTCAATTTCTCCCTGTTAGACTGTCATAAGCAAATCAATACAGTGAGAAATATAAGTTATTAATGCCGAAAGATAGAGCTTAATCTACTTAGCTCAGGGAAATGGCTTTTTATTGTGACTGTCTTTCCTTGCCGGAGGGATAGCCGTCAAAACATGATTAAAAAAACAATTTATATTACATCTATTATCTCCTGTACAAGTTACTGTGGGTATGAATTCTTTCCTATTAAATACGATGTTCGACACCGAAGTGGAACAGGTTGAGTTTCTAGGCAACTGGCTGTTCAAATGCAAATTGCTGATCATTTTCCGTCAAAGGGGTTTTTATACCAATGAGGGATCAGTCTTGTCACCTGCCAGATTCATACCTGCAGATACCGTGAGAGCAGCAGCAGGAGTGATTCTCATCAACCGCCTTGTCACAGGTGAGCTAATGTCTGAAAAGTCTTCTAAATTACTTTGATCGCCTTGATTGTGGAATAAAAAGCCAGTCAGCTCAGTTTACCCATTTTTACATTTGAAGAGTAGCGCATCCGCTCTTTTCAGGCTTGTCGCTGATCTTAATGATGTGAATTCCTGTTTTCAATAATTGTGCATAGCTTCTATTGACAGTGTGTGGATAGGGTCTTTATGGACCATGAATTAATTTTTTCCGATTCCCCAACGTCTGCCATAACCAGATTTTCATGTTGCATCAATCGCTGGTTCAGGCTCACCAGAGTGTAGCATTCACCAGAGTGTGGCTGACAACAGAAGACAGTGGTTGTGAATGTATGAATGAAAACAGTAGAAAAACAGCCGATCTAAAAACTAAAATAACCTTGCATCAGTGTCCACTGCACGAGTGATGCACAATAGAGAGTCTGAACAGGGAGAGGAAGACATGTCCTAGTTAGCTCTGACACTGTGATATTTTATTCACAACCATATGACACTGGTCCCTGATGCATTAATGTCCTCCTGTCTCTGTTTTCAAAAAAACAAAAGCTCATTCTCACTCTGACTTTTTTCATGTTTGGCTAAAGTTTCATATCATTTTTCAGTAATGAAACATCACAACAATAATTTTCAAATGTATTATCAATATTTTTAATAACTTAAAGGCAGAGGGCTGCAGGGGCTTTGCAAGACAGTCTCTCCACTCCCAGTTTGCTTGGCATTAGAGGGTTGCAAGAGAAAACAGCCACCAAAGCTGCAGAAAAGTGCTGTGGATAATGAGGGGTGACCAATTGAGTAGTGTGCAACTTGGATGCAAGCTGGGCACTGATCATTCCTGGCTAGGCCACCCAGGTAAGAGAGCTTAATGTCCCGAAACACCCTATGATGCTGGGTTCATCATTGATGATGTGTCCAAATCGCACTGACTGGTGTTTCAAAATACTAATGATAACAACAATAATAGTATTAGTATATGGACATTTGGTCTGATACATGCATAAGAAAGCCTAACAATATATCACTAATGTAATTATACATGTTATAAATAATAATAATAATAATAATAATATGAATATAGGCCAGTATAAGTGACGGTGCACGCTTGCCGACTGAAATGTCCACTTTGTGTGTGTGTGTGTGTGTGTGTGTGTGTGTGCAATGGATGACAGGGTGTTTAGGAATCTAAAGTTTGGGGGAAGAAGATGTTGAAAAACCTCTTACTGTTGGTTTTCAAATATGATAAAAAATAACAGGAGCTGTCTAGCTTTTATCATTTCATAATTCACATTAGCTTTGTAGCTAGTGACTGTATGTATACATTTTTCCCTTTTACTGATCTCAGTTTTTTTTCTTCAGAAAAAGAACATGACATGTGATTTACAGGAAAGATCTGTGTGCAGTAATACCCAATAAAAAATAATGCAACTTAATTTCAGATAGGTTGAATTTCACTCAAAATGTTTTTATGTAAGTTTATGAACTGATTCAAAAATGCTTGGAAACTTGGGAGGAAAGTATGTCTGCAGTAATTCTACAGTATGTGTGTTTGGTGTGTTCATGAAACTGCCCACTGGTCGGACTGGGATGAGTCCGAGGAGATGACTGGTACAAACCACAGCACCCAGCGCCGCTGCACCCAGCAACACAGGAAGGAAAATCTCGAAAAAACACAACCCCTGACACAAGGACATTCAGCCCTCACCCACGCACACCGCTCTGTTACTATGGCGATGCAGGAACACAAATTGCACACAAATACACACATACACACACAGGACAATATCTAATCTGGCTGAACTTTAGCGTAACTAAAGGGAGGTGCGGCGATAGCAGAAGAGATGCTATAAATACCAATTGTTTCATGAAAAATGTTATCAGATGGGTTTGTTTGGGAACAGTTGCTGTGATGGTGAGATTGGAAGCGCTCCAGGCCTGTCGTACAGTCAGCGTGTGTTAGGCCCGAGCTCTCTCTAGGCTTTAATTTCACGATCACACAGAAAAGACACAAAAAAATAAGTCCTGGAGGTTTTCTCTGCCCTCAGAGGCAACATTTAATACACCGCAGCAACAACACTGCTTTCTTTATGAACCAGGAAACAGACGCTGCTGATGTTTTATTATGTATATGGTGTAAGTCATAAAAGATTCATAATCTTCTCTCTCTTTCCTCTCTTGTGATTTCTGACTGTCCATCTGGAATTTAACCAGTTTAACAACTTATGACAAACCTCCAGATCTGTCAAACTCCCACAAGAACAATATCGAGAAGAAGAGGGGAGAGTAGAACGTTTTGAGATTATCTGAAGGATTTGATTAAAAACTCATTAAAGATATTGAAAATAACGAGTCCAGTTTGTTTCAACCGTTTTCACATTAGCATAATTAGGATTTCATTTCATCTAAATAAAGAAAGAGAGGAGCAAAAGGAGCAGCGACTCCCCCGGTCCTGTGCTTGGGTGGAACCCCCCCAGCTAAATTTAGATCCCCTCTCATGGCCACAACTTGACCACAGCAACCATGATCAGAGACGACCATGATGTCAACAGCTCTAATGTGAAGCTGGTTACTCTCTTAAGTGACTGCGAAGCCACACTCCCAGTTGGAGGAAGGGTGCAGGTGCAGTCGTGTAAGAACCGCACACCGAGCACAAACAGATATCTTGTCGGATGGAACATTTAACACCACAAGCAAACCGACAGTTGTGTTACCGAAGTCATATGGACTCATTCAGTGGATGACTTTGGCGAAGTATACAAGTGGTGACTGTCAGCTGATTAGGCTGCACTTCACTTTGACTTACGGTACGTGATAAATCATTTTCTATAATGTCACAAAGAGGTCATAAATAATTAATAGTCGAGGCCAGCCAGACCTCATATGTCCCACTGTATATAAATAGTAACAAGGGAGGAATTCTATATGGCATTGTAATGGGAGGATGGTGTGTGGCTGTGATATTCCACTCACATTTTAAAGAGAAACCTCTCAAATTCAGGATTATGACACCCCCACACTGTTGACTTTTTTGTCAGTAAAAGTTTTTTTCTTCTGCAAAAAATAATAGATTCATCCTGAAAGGCTTTTAATGTAGCACTTCTCTCCTTATGAAAATAAAACCTGTGACAAGAGCCGACAAGAGCAGATCAAACAACCAATTAACCAGTCGAGCAGGAGACTGAATAGCAATGTCAGCCATTGTCTGTGTGACTGGTGAACACTGTCTGACAAAACTGCACTTTCTCACCTTTATTACATTCTCAAGTTAAAGGCTCATGGGAGTTACCGCTGTGCCAAGACAAGATATTAGCGCCATCAGTCAGGTTTAACAGTGAGTTCACCCAGGGATAGTAAAAACAGGCCATGATGCCATCTGATATCTATCTGTTGCTCTGTTTGCAGAACAGAGGAGAGTATTACACTGTGTGTGTGTGTGTGTGTGTGCGCTCAGGGAGACACTGAGTGGTGATTGTGTTGACAGAAACAAGGCACTATCAGCAGTACGGGTTCTTCTGCGCCCTCTGTCTCTCTCTGGTACCATAACTGTTACAGACAGAGCGTATGTTAAACTGCTCTATAAACAGCTGAAATGGCTCAGGTATCGTTTTCAAGAGGTATACAAGCTTCAAAATTAAAAATGTTTTAATGAAAAGCATTGCTTAATATTCATTCTTTATTTTTATTTTCCCACATATAGTTAGGGAGCATGGCAGGGTATTTTATCTATGGAAACTGTAAACTATATCTTATCAGGGCTAACATTAGCTCAATTAACTAACTAGTTATAGCTAGTACTCTTTTCTCTGACTCAGATATGACATACCCAATGACATTCATCTAACACTCGATGACACAATCAATACCAGTCTCCTGCCTTTGTGTTGATAATGGAGCTTGATATAGGGAAGATAAATTTAGTGATTAACACTTCTATGATCTTCTAGGATCAATCTAACAACTCAGTGCCATTATCCATGTAATGAATAAGATCTACTTGTTGTTGAGAGACATAAGTCAGACAGGCAGTTTCCCTAACTTTCAATTTTTCAAGTTGGCTAGGTTAACAATGTTCTGGCTCCAGTTGTGTATTTAACACACAGAAAGAGTCACAGCCGGTGACAACATGAAAGCCAAAATATCATATTTGCCCTCTGCTGGCTGGCTGCAGTATAGGTCATGAACCCTCCTTGTTTGCATACTTCTATGTTAATTTGTCTTACAAAATGTATAGCTAATCATAATTGGTCCCACAGGGAGATATCGCAGGTCCAGTTTCTGATCAGTGCTGCACAAATGTCATCAAAGCAGGATTGCAGCATAATCTGGGATATTTTGGCGAAATTCATTATCCATCTTTACGTACAATGATTGGTCATAGTGATTAAGTAAAATGTTAATCTATATCAAGGGCTAAGCATCCCCTTACCATTATTTGTGGTGTTGACATAGTATCGCTGCCCTTGTGGAGACATGTAGCATCTCCAGTGAGGAGGCAGTGGGTCTTTGAGGTCCTCCACTGGAAGATGACTCAGAGATGCTGTCCTCTGTAAAAACAGAAAAAGCACAAAAAAACATCAGAAGGTGTCAACTATTGTGAAAGGGCAAATCAGCATGATTATCGTGAATTCAAGGAAAATGTTAGCTCCAACAGGAAGATTTATTTCTCAAGGATTTGTCACAATTAAGCCTAATTGCTGCAGATAAACGCATACAAGAAGATTTTTTTAAAAAGCGGCCATGCTTCAGCAGCAATGCAGGAGAATGCGGCGTTGAGCTCGGGTTCAGCGAGGTTCTCATTTCCTCAAGTATTTCACAACCAGCAACTACAGACATCAGAGCGGAGCACGCTGAGCACAACAAACTGCAGTTGGACCAAGATCTCCGGAGTCATTGCATGTGCACACAACAGACAGCTGAGGAACATGGGAGAGTATGAAAGCAATCAGCACACATCTGCTTCTGATTAGTGAGAAAATACATGGGACCATTGTAACACACTTTGGAGATGCCGTTTGGAGACTAGAGAGAGACAGATGAAAATTCCATATCAGCTGCAGTTTGGTTATTGGGATCCATGCGATGCCATTCAAGCATCTAGAAGAGGTTAATTATGGTAACGGCATGGAAACCCAATACAGTTATAGTGGGTTATGCTAGATATGAATTCAACAGACCTGACTGACCATTTGCGAAACCCCATCTCTGGACAGCTATTGTCCAATCACAGCTTCCCAATCGTAACCCGAGATGGAAGGCCTGACAAGTTTAAGATTGCTCTTCATGCTGAAGAGACATACTTGGCATTTAATGAGTGTGAGGTAATATTCGTCTATGCTGCTGGGATTATGTAGCTGACACACAGCTATGCAATATACAAGACCAATGCTTCATTATTTCCTTGTCTTCTACACAGATCATCAGCTGGTGAGGGTGTTTACATTTATCCTGTGACATGTAGCTTGATCAAATAAATATTCCAGACCTTAATACAAAATTCTTAATTTAAAATGCTCCACTGCTTTAGGACATAACACTGCCCCTCTAATGGTTAATGAAGGAATCGGTAACTGGCAGCTTTACATCTCAAACGTCTAAGGCCACTGTGGAGATGTGTCCAGGTGGGTGAGGGGAGACATATCAGTGCTAAACAAACATTTCCTCATAGATATTTACTATCTCATCTGCCATTTTTAGTGCTTATCGAGCAGCAGTAAGTATTGATTTAAGAACAAACTGGCCGCAGAGATAAAAGCTGCAACACCTAAGAGAAATAACTCATTATATGCAACTGCTCCCTTGAAAGAAGCAATAGGAAGAAATCCAGAACTCTTTGGTCCCACAAGGCTGGAGAGTATGAATCCCTGTCAGTGACTTACGACTGCATGTAATTACACAGTCTCCGACAGCATTACAGCAATGTTTTCTCTTTGATGGTCTCGGCGGTCACTGTTATATTTGTCCTTTGTGTGCCTTTGAAAACCGGATTTGCTTAAACACTCCAGTAATTTCCTACAGCAATGAAAAGTAGCCACGGATGTTAACAACGGATAAACAGCACTCCATGAAAGAAAATCGGAGCTATCTCCAATAACATCAGTGACACAGGATCGCATGTTTATGTACTGAAAAAGAAATGAAAGAAAAAAAAACGGTCAATACCGCTGCCACCCCACAGATACAGTTACAGTAGAGTGGAGAGCTACAGGACATGAGTGTGTGCAGAGGCAAAGGGCCTTTCAGTTGCTCCACACATATGCTGTTCCTTAGTCGAACAAGATGAGTTATTATACATTTGTGTTCACTGCACTGGGGGGGGGGGGGGGGCTGAAATCATCCAGAGGGGCTGTATGTGAGGACACAAATGTCCGAGCTAGTTTCTCCAGACAATTTACCTTCCATGTAATCACTCTAGATAATACAGAAAATTTGGGAACGCAGCAGGAGATTCTCCAGAGATTCAACGTGAGCAGGTGGGCGCGGTGATGGTATCCAACACACGACGGACACAAAACTAATAAAAAACAAGGAACACAAATACTGAAAGGAAAAGAGGAGTCGTACATGGAGACGCACGTGATGTTGGAACGATTTTAAGGCTTTTGGTGATAAGAGCTGACTGGATATGCTGTAAACAAAATCATGCTATCGCCACAGCAAAGTTTATACATCATGTCCTGCCTCCTGCATGTCGCACCACCATTGTTATTGTTAATGCATCAGAGTGGACAATCTACTGCTGCATTCTTCATATGTGAAGGCAACCCCTCATATGGACATGTTTTGAACTTCACATCTGAAAACGGCTTAGTAAGATTCACTGCATTTTTATTTCATATTTCAATATTAAGTGACTATGTCAGGAGAATAATCTTAGCAACTGTTAAATCGATAAAGGAGTATGGCAAATCCAACAAAGTACTACCCAGCAATTATAGGTACTCCATCATATTGATGCAAAGGCCTCCAACATGTTTATATTAGCCAAAAATATTCCATAAGTTTTTTAAAGAACATCTGAGTGCTTCGAGTCCATGTACTGCAGTATAGTTCTCCTGCTTACTTTACTACAGCTTTCTGCACACATGCTGTTGTTTGGTCACATGATCATCATCAATGAAACAATGCCACAGTATTGTTTTTCTCTGAGCTAAGCAGATACGGGTCTCCAAAGCAAGCGAAAACAGATGGGAGTGGGCTGCTGTGGTTGGAAGGACACGACTAATATGTAAAAATCTTGGGACATGAAAACACTTAAGGTTGTTGACGTGATTCATTTCCAGCGCTTCAAAATCCAACATTTCCTCTCAATCTCATGTGTTTCTTTCTTGCTGGAAACGTCCACATCCATGCTTGAAGCTCAGTCTCAAAGTTAAGCAAAGCTTTTACTGAGCCACAAGAGCCCGAGTTAAAATTCTGCTCCCCGGTAGAAGTTTGTGACAGATCTGACAGCCCAGTCATACAGCCAAAAAAAAAATCAGACGTGAGTGAGAGAATGGGAGCACCTTGGTGGTGGGAAGTGTGATGAATCTCCGAGACAGATTGTCTCGGCATATGCAACATTAAATAATGCACCATTCCAGATGGTTAACCTTCTAAACCCCAGACTGCCTTTGGCTCCACATTCACAGC